GCGAAGTGGACTTCACATGATATTCCGCCATGATTCCAGTTCCAAGGGAACGTACACATTACATTCAAAGGGGATTAAAGTGCACGAGACGTGAATTTATATTGTATTTATTTACAGAGGTATATTATGTCACACTTCACACTTCTCTAGTAAGTTTCGTCTGTGTGTGAAGACAGTAGCGCAAATCCGTGATTGAATGTTCCGAAGTGAAATAAACTTTAACGGAATAAAGTTGAATGGAATTGAATTGAATTAAAGTTGAATGAACTTCAACTTTACTGTTCAGTGCACTGATGTTAGACTCATTTTGGATAATAAAGTTTATTGTTAAATTAATAAATGCCCTGCCTCCATTACATATCTCTGTCACGTCATTATAAGTGTTTGATCACCACATTTGAGTGATCATTGCAAAAAATGTGTTTATGTATATATATTCTGTTTATTGTATATACTGTATTCTATATATAGTACCAGTCAAATGTGTGGACACATGAATGGGAAAGTGTCCAAACTTTTGACTGGTACTGTACTATAATATACACAAAGAATCTCGGCCGATATATCGATATCTGACTTTTTTTTTACTCCATAATATCGGTATCGGCCCCAAAAAACCCATATCGGTCGGGCTCTAATTATTATATAATTGTAATTACGTCTATAGAAGCATTTTGTGGTGAAAATTCAAACAGTTGCAGCTGGCATTTGTTTTCTCTTTAGTGTTTCTTTTTTGGTCAAAAATGTTCATTAGAGTACATCATTAAAGCTGAGTTGTCTCATGTGAAGTGTTTGTTACTCACACTTTCATACTCAACATGATGGCATAAATGATGACATTGCATGTTTAAAGGCAAAAGCTAAAATTGGTTTATATTAAATTTGAGTAATGTTCCAGAAGTTATGAAGTTGTTTGTATTTTTAACTTTATTTATTTGACTCTTTCAGGATAGTGTTGAACACTGCATCATAGGAGTCACAATTCTTTCCCAGTTAACCAATGAGATTAACCAAGTAAGTTTCTACGCTCACAGTATTTCTTCATTTAGTCTTTCCTCAGTGCTTGGAAATTATTTACTGTTTGTTTGGGATCAATGACTGGAAGTCACATTAAAGATAAATGACTGATTCCTTGAATCATCTTTCGATTCTCCAGGCAGACTCAACACATCCACTTACAAAACATAGAAAGATTGCGTCATCATTTCGAGATTCCTCTTTGTTTGACATCTTCACCCTCTCCTGCAACCTCCTCAAGCAGGTAAGGCTAATGCTTCAGAGACTGCACAAAAGAACTGTCTGTCTATATATTCCTCTTCACAACCGCTAAACCAGCCTGCTTGGGATTTGTCAAGGACTCAATGGATTGTTCTGTATGTCTGCAGGCATCTGGGAAGAACTTGAATCTAAATGATGAGAGCCAGCATGGGCTACTCATGCAGCTACTCAAACTGGCCCACAATTGCCTCAACTTTGATTTCATTGGTACATCCACCGATGAATCCTCAGATGATCTGTGCACCGTCCAGATCCCCACCAGCTGGAGATCAGGTGATCTGACATTTTTGGCAAACAATGAATGTATGGTGCAACTTGAATTTTAAATTGAATATGTTTAACCTTCTTAAGAATTGCTTATATAGTCAAGATTTCTTGAAACAAAAAAAGATGTGTAATTTTTTTTTTCTTTTCTGATTTGCTGTTGTGACTTAAGACTTTTTTTAAGAACATTAAAGACATGTATAATGTTTCAAAAGGTTTTGATGTTTTGAACTTTCTTTGTCAAAAGAAAAAGCATAAAAGATTATTATGGTTTCCACAAAAAATATTGAACCACACAACATTGATAACAATAATAAATGTTTCTTAAGCAGGAAATCTGTATATTAGAATGATTTCTGAAGAACCATGTGACATTGAAGACTGGAGTAATGATACTGAATATTTAGTTTAATTGAAATAGAAAACGGTTAAATTCTAAAAATATTTCACAATATTACTGGTTTGACTATTATTGATCAAATAAATGCTGCCTTGGTGAGCATGAGAGACTTCTTTCAAAAAGTCCTTTTGAGCAGTAACGGGGTATTCGTGTTGAATTCATGCATACGTTTATGATTTTTCTCTCTTCTGCAGCCTTTTTGGATTCCTCAACCTTGCAGCTGTTTTTTGATTTGTATCATTCCATCCCTCCCTCGCTGTCTCCCTTGGTGAGTATCAGATAAACAGCATGACATGCATGTGAAGATAAACAAGCCTTTGCCTCGTAGATAATGTGAAAGGTGACCTATTATGCCCCTTTTTACAAGATGTAAAATAAGTCTCTGATGTCCCCAGAGTGTGTATGTGAAGTTTTAGCTCAAAATACCCCACAGATAATTTTTTATAGCTTGTTAAAATTGCCACTTTTAGGGTATGAGCCAAAACATGCCATTTTTGTGTTTGTCCCTTTAAATGCAAATGAGCTCGTGCTCCCGCCTCCCTTTTCAGAAGATGGTGGAGCTTCAAGATCTCATACTCCGGCAAAACTGGACAATCTCATGCAATCTGATTGTACTGTGCAGTAAATACGCGTTTATGAATTACACAGACGGGAGCATGGCGCGATTAAAAATAACGACATAGCTGGTCTCATGGTGCCTTTGCTTGCTATCACAAATGTTATAAGTCCCACTTGTGATTACGAGCTTGAAAAATTCAAGTGATCGACTTCAGATTGCTTTCATATGCAATTTTTAACTACCACATTCCTATTTACGATCATTCTGGTAGCATGTGAAGGCAGCATTAGTGAAAACAGGCAGAGACAATGGTAGCTTTAGCAACATTAGCCTTACAGAGTACCAAGAAGCTCTTTCAGAAAGGCAATTTGGAAAACAAAATATGACGCATGATGCTTGCTTTGTCTAGAGCCGTCATTCGCGCACAAAGCGTTAGTATTGCTCCCTCTTTCAGAAGCAACCTTTGCACAACTCCAGCGCTGAACTGACCCTCGTTGTGAGGCAGTCTGGTGTAAAATGATTAGCACAAACATATAGGACTTTTCTGTTGTTTTTTTTCCCGGGACGTTTACTTTGAAAATTTACATTTAACCACCATGTCGTCAGCGGTCTATGGAGACTCCTGTGTTCGTTGGTGTATCCCAACACACGACACTTGTAATGCCTCTTTGGCACTGACATTGTATCTCCAGCAGCTACAGCACGAAAACAGTAATAGCGGACTGCTGCTTCTCACTCAGGGCGGGGTTTATGCTAATAGGGCAGAGAGCATCACAAATGGGTGGGACTTTTTCCATACGATGACGTGTACGTAGGGAGAAATCTGGAACCGCTCGTTTAAAGAGACTTTATGATTTATTGGGATTATAAAAAAAAAAAAAAATGAGTGGGTGGATTTTTACCATTATAGGCTGGTTGTTTTCACACACTGCGTCCACACAACTGTGTTCAAACACCTTATAAAAGTGATTTTTGCATAATAGGTCACCTTTATGACTCTTCCAATAATAATGTGAACTGTTTAGTATTAAATGTGCTGTTTGTCTTTCAGGTTTTGTCTTGTCTAGTCCAAATAGCATCTGTCCGGAGGTCTTTATTCAACAACGCAGAGAGAGCAAAGTTCCTCTCCCATTTAGTAGATGGTGTGAAGAGAATATTGGAGAACCCTCAAGTATGCTGTCTGTCCTGATATGATTTATTATTTATGCGAATAATACTGTCATTATAGTGTTTAGATAATATTTATTAAAAAAAAAGGTGAATAATGCTGTATATTAAATATGTAGCCTGAAAATAGCTGCTTTAAAATTTCAAATCTATTTGCAGGTATTATGTGGTTAATATGGTAACATGGCAATGCTTATGTTGTTGTTGTTGTTTTTTTTATGCAGAGTTTGTCAGACCCAAACAACTACCATGAGTTCTGCCGACTGCTGGCTCGACTCAAGAGTAACTATCAGCTGGGAGAGCTGGTTAAAGTAGAGAACTACCCCGAGGTCATTAGACTGATTGCTAACTTCACCGTAACTAGTCTGCAGGTGAGTGAATGGCTTTGTGTGCTAAACATAAAGCTAATATGTGATTTCTACAGAAGTTGAACCAACTTGACTGCAATTTTTTGTTAATTTGCTGATGAAATTAAGTGAATATGAAAAATTGGCATTTCAAAAACTGATAACTTTGATGTGTCCCAGCACTGGGAGTTTGCCCCCAACAGTGTGCACTATCTGCTGAGCCTGTGGCAGCGGTTGGCAGCATCTGTCCCTTATGTGAAAGCCACAGAGCCCCACATGCTGGAGACCTACACCCCTGAGGTGACCAAGGCCTACATCACGTCCCGCCTAGAGTCCGTGCACATCATTCTGAGGTAGAGTGAGCACTACTTGAACTCACGGTTAGGTCCGATTTGCAAGAATGCCATAAATATGTGAATATACAATATCCATTCTATGCAGGGATGGTCTTGAAGACCCCTTGGATGATGCTGGCTTGGTGCAACAGCAGCTAGACCAGCTGTCTACTATCGGCCGGTGTGAATATGAGAAGACCTGCGCCCTGCTTGTCCAGCTCTTCGATCAGTCGGCCCAGTCGTACCAGGAGCTGCTGCAGTCCACCAACTCCAGCACAATGGACATAGCAGTGCAGGAGGGTGAGCTTGAAACAAAGCCTAATATACAAATCAATATATTGCATCATAACTTAACATAACAATGCTTATGTTACGTATGTGTTGTCCAGGTCGTTTGACGTGGCTAGTGTACATCATTGGCGCAGTCATTGGAGGAAGAGTATCCTTCGCCAGCACAGATGAGCAGGATGCCATGGATGGGGAGCTTGTGTGTCGGTGAGGAATCGCCACTAAAGGCCTGTTCACACCAAGACGAAATGAAAATTCAGTCATACGATTTGTCTATTCTGACCGATGTGTAAAAAAAAAATAATACAATCAGATGGGCTAAATGAATATGCAAAATTATTCTTTGATAGTATGTAGTGCTTACAAAAAAGCAGAAATACCCCGGGACACAAAGCACTGCACAGCATTTTGTTTCTGACACCCTCTTGTCACAAGAATGAAGTCAGTCAAACAGTATTTACATATTTTAAAAACCCATTAAAATATTTGTATTCACTAGGATGTCTATCAAACAGCACCAAACACAAGAGTACAGAGAAATGGCGCTTTTCCACTGCGTGGTACGGCTCGGCATGGCACAGCCGCGACTCCTGAAAAACTTTTTCATTCCGCGTCGTCCCATCAAGCCCTCGCTGGATCCGATCCTCTGCTATCAACGAGAGGACCGTATGTACTTCCTCAACAGACAACGAAACAGCCACTTTTTGGTTGTTAAAAAAGGTGCGCTCGTTCAAAACAGTTGCGTTCGATCCTTCTGTGCTGATTTAAATCTAGCGGTTCTGTTGTGTTTGTGGCGCAAGTTCAGTGACGCAGGTAGTGACGATTCTCTGCGGCCAATCAGTGATCAGCAGAGTTTACACATCACGTTTTGGTAACGGTGCGGTTCACTTGGAACTAGACTTGTGCCGGTATTCGGTAATGCGATATATCACGGTAATGACTATGCACGGTATTGTTATCGTGGGCTCTTCTAAATACTGTGAATAATTATATAGTGATAATACCGTATACCGTGATAAAAGCATTAGCAATTAATCGCAACATGAAAATTTGATACCGGCATATCCCCCTACTTGGAACCTCAACCGAGGTGGTACTAAAAAAAGTACCAGGTACTGTACCCAATGGAAAACCCTCCAAAAGTGAACCGTACCGTGCCGTACCATGCAGTGGAAAAGCGCCAAAAGAGAGTCGGTTCCAGATTTTTCCTCTATTCACAAAATTGTCTTTCATGAGTGCTACCAAGATGTAGTTTTATGTAACAGCAGAGCCTCTGGATATGTGACCAAATGTCTTATTGGTTGGCTGTTTTTTGTTCTCAGTGCAGTTGAAAAAGATTAGAACACCTGCCTGTTTATTTATATATTTACATTTACATTTAGTCATTTAGCA